CTTTGCACGAATAGAACATCCCAATTAATTTACATTATTACACAATCATCCCCTATCTTTTACCCAAAATTTGGTCCCCAATTTTTGCCATCACAGGTCTAAATCCTTGGGCGATATTCGATTGTAGTCTCTTTTCTTTTCCACCACCCCCAAGTCGACTCCATGCCTTCTCCACCGTCTCGCTCTCTTAGGTGATTGAAGCCAGCAACAGCCACCGTCGATGCAGTCAGGTATGTGCCTCTCTCTCACTATCTGTGCTCATATCCTCCCCCTCATCTCTCTGCACTCTCTCTCTTATCTCAGCCCCGTTGGTAACAGAGACCCATCGTCACCCAATGACGCCTAAAAGCAACCACCCATCGATGCCAGGTTTTTTTTTTATCTCTTTGTTTTCCTTTCTCTCCTATCTCTGATTCCACCAATCACTGTCATTCTATGCCTCCCCTCCCCTGTTCTTCTCCTTCCTCTCCCTTTCTGCACTACTACACTTCAAACTCCACTCTACCCCCAAACCCAAACCCCAGCCCACATCGCTTTTTCTATCCTTCTACTCTCTACACACATACCACCATTACCCACCACCCTTTCTTCCTCTCCCCCCTCCCCCCAACCCCCCACCGAACTTAACCATCAGAACCTTCCCACCGCCACAGCTCCTCTTTCTCTCCCTTTACTCTCTGCGCATACACACAACACACACCCACACAACAAACACGTGCTGACGGCTTTGTTAATTTTCACTTTTTGGGCTTGCTCGCAAGATGTTAGAGAAAATGCCTGACAAGGATTTGGTTTTTGGGTTTATGTTTGTTCCTTTCTTTGGTTTCTTGGTTTTATGTGGGTAATGGGTTGAATTTATTTTTCACTTGGATAGGGTTTGTTTTATTTTTGTTACTTTTTATACGACATTTGTTAGGTTCCCTTCCTGGGGTTTAATTTTTTTTTTTTCGAAATAGTTTCTAACCGAATTCTTTGTTTTTTTTTTATGCAGGAGTAGTAGGACCACATTTTTGTATTGGTGGCAAAAAATATGGTGCTCCACAATGGAAATTTTGCGTTTAGTTTCCATTATTGTAATCTCTTTTTGCTTCATTACCATTTTAACAATTGTTGTTGTTCAATATTTTATTCCATTTTGTTTGTTTTTATATCTACTTTTCTTCCCTATTGTTTTATTAGTTTGCTACCATCCATTGTTAATCCTGCTTTTCAAAACTAATTTCATGTGGCTGACAGGTTGAGTATCTTCATGTTTGATCTCTCATAAAATTGATGTTTGAGACTTCCTTGGCCTCAACTATTCATGTGTATTGTTGTTTAGGTACTAATTATTATAATTAATATTCTTTTAATTCTGTTTTTGCTTATATATTTAATCTCTGCTGGAAGGTAGTACGTGATTTATCAATTAGTTTTTGTTTGGTTGTGGAACATGTTCTTTCAGGTCAAATGCCTCTTACCAAATAGTTAGTTTGAGTGAAAGTTTTGAGTTTCGATTAATTTGCTTCATACACAGGTTTTCATGGACCATTTGATGAATAACAAATGAAAGATGGTGAAGCTTCTGCCTAGAGGGATAGAGATGTTGAGAACTTAATTCCACTTGGTAAGCTTGCTCCATTTTTCATGCTGTTGTTTTGAAATTTATGAAAATGATACACCCATTATTCTTTTCCCGTTGGATACCAATATTTGGTCAACACACAATAAAGAAATCTAGAAAAACACATAGAGAATGGATGAAATTAATTTTGTTCTGGTCGTCGAGTCATCAATTAGATCAAGGCTTGATCTTCTTATCCTTTATTTTATCAACAACAATAACATCTTCGACAAAGAGCTTTGCTTGCTGCATATTTGGGGCATCCGCAACGTCAGTAATAGAATTGGTGTCCTTTCATGGTACATGCCCTATCCATAGGCTTTCTAGGTCTAAGATTCTAATTGTTATTCGCCTGCTTATTTAATGCACAGAGGCACATGCTTTTGAAATCACATTCCAATGTTTAACCTTCATATTTTTTTTTGCGCTTCTTATTATTGGCTTTACTAATTTCAACATCAAATCGCTCAATGGCAGGTTATTGATCGATGATTTTCTTCAATGGTTGACTTTGTAAGGTTCCGAACTACATTCTTAGTGAAGTTTCGACTTCATACATTATTATTCGGATTTTATTTTGTGTATGTATTTCTTTATTTATATTATTCCCAATCAAAAAAGTTCTTGCTAGGATTGATTCTTTTTCTGGGATTCATTACGTTTATAAAGTGTCTTTGGTACGGGTATTAATGGGATGATTTTTGACGAAGTGGTGTATATCTATTGGGATTTTACCCAGTTGTTTTTGTGGGTTTGGTTTTGATAACATTTTGATAAGGTAGAAACACTTTACAGGCATGAGGTGATTAATACATTTTTCAATCTTTTTGTCTTCATTATGATCGTCTTCTTGGTCAGTTTGTGTGCTGAGTTTTCTAATGAATTGCCCATGTTTTGTCTCAGGCCATGTTATGCACATTTTGTGCGTTGTTTTTGGTAATACTATGTTAAAAACATATAGGCTTCTATGAAGTATGCCCTTTTTGTCCTTTCATCAGTTGAAAGTGGCCGATTTTTTGATTTTGTTTCTAATTATTGTTCTTTGACTTTGATTAGTTTCAAATGGGTACAACATTTTACATGTACTAGGAAAGTTTTAGCTGCTTATTACGCAAAAAAAATTGGAAAAATTTGACTGACTTGAAGCATTTGGGTACGCTTGAGTGTATCAATTTTCTGGTTTGTTCTGTGAATAATAGCTTATACGAGCATGTACTATTTCTCCTGGACCTTTATCAGTTGGATTCACTTACCCTTTGGTTTTGTTTTGGATTTGGTTTTGATTTTGTTTTCTTAGACATAGTTTGATTTTTGGATCTATGGCATCATGGTGGTATGAAACCGAGCTTTGTCATGGTAGAGGAGGAAATCAAATCAGATTTTCTACTCCCACTAATGCTGGTTTTGTAGACAACTCTCCAGAAGATATTTTTGGGTTCATGCAAATAAGGAAGGGATTTCACGCACGGCTATATAGGTTGTAAGGTTCTAAGTCCTCGTGGTTAAGATTTTAAATTTTGAATTATTGAATAAAATTTCCCTTGCTAGGTCAAGGTTTAATTTTAAAAAAAGTTTCAATCTGTTTTTTAATGTTATACAAGGATTTTGCGAACGACCGTTCCTTGGATTGAGTAATTTTTAATTATCCCTAGGATGTTCACTCTACTTGACGGGTAGAAAATATGTTCTTCCGTCTTTTTACCCGATATTTTACAAAAGAGTTTTTTCTTGACTTACTCTACTCGACAGTTGTGATATTCTTACCTGACTTTTTATCTAATTAATCAGGTAGGAAGTCGAGTAAATATTTTTGTAACAATTAATTTTTGAATCATTTTAATAATTTAATTAAATAACATGCATCAGTTTAACAACACAATAAATCAATTAACACTAAAATTTAAAACAACTACAACAATAATTATAATAAAACACAAGAAAGTATGAACATCAATCTATCATAATTGTTATACAAATACAATAACAATTAATTTAAGTTTAAACTTTAAATCATATGAAATACATTAAAATCATAATTGCTCCATTATGATAGTTTACCACAAATCATGTAACCGATCTGTTATTGTAGATGAAGGTCTGCGATCAGACCTTCCAAGCCAGACCACACCAGAGAGAGAGAGAGAGAGAGAGAGAGAACTTGGGTGGAAAGTCTGGAACAATGAAGGAGGAGCAGTGGAGTGACCGAGTGAAGTGTGAGGCGTAGACGCTCTTGGAACTCGATAGATTAGAGTTTTTTTTTACTATATATATATATATATATATAAATTAAAAATTATTGCGGGTTGGATAGGGTAGGAATATAGAAAGGGATGTCTATTCCGTATTCTTACCTGAAAATTGTCGAAAAACCAAAATTTTTTTCGTATTCCTACTCAATTTTTGCGGCTAGCCATTCAATAGGGTAGGGTAGGAACTTGCGGTCGGTCGAAAATTTGAACACCCCTACTTATCTCCAAATAAATTTTTTTGACGAACTAAACTCATTATAAGTTCCTTAAAGAAGACTAGCCCAAATTTTCATTAATTAAAAATATAAAAAATCTGTTAGAGTATGTATTAAAAAAGTGAGTAGTTAAAATGAAAAAAATTATTATTTTTTGAATAGCTAAACTAACACTTATTGTTAGAGATGCTCAAAGATGACTTAATAATAGCGTATGTGACATTTCTCTCAAATAAATCTTAAAAAATATATTCGTATTCAATTTTTCAATATATATATATCTGGTGCGGAGAAGTTACAAGATTTGGGCCGTGGACCATGTCATCACTGAAAGTCGAAGTCTGCAAAACGTGCAAGCATTGACAAACAAAAGAGTTCATATTTCTCCCTTGGTTCACTTAACTTACCCTATTCATGAGCCGTGATATACTCTCCTACCACATACTAACAAAATCAAAATCAAAAACTCCGCACGATATATAATACGATATTATGTTGTCACGTCGATATCAATAATTAAAAAACATGAGTTAATCTCAAATAAGAATAATTTCATTTTGTATTGCATGATGCTTGTAGGATTGGGAAAAAAAAAAAAAATTTATTGATCAATTGGGAAAAGAAGTTCCTTGATTGAAGGGTCCAACCCACGTGTCCAAACAGAAAGGGCCACCGTTGAAGTCCTTGTCATCCATCGGCTACCTAAACTGACCAAAGACTCAAAAACCACTCCAAGTTTCTGGGCTATAAATAAAATAAACATGCTTTCTCCTCCAGAGACTATTCATACATACCTAGAGAGAGAGAGAGAGAGAGCAAGCCAGAATCCAGCTGAAAATATCATCAACATACACAGAAAGAAAGTGAGCAAAAGAGAAGAGAAGAGAGAAGAGAAGAGAGAGAGAGAGAGAGAGAGAGAGAGAGAGAGAGATCATGGCCATACCAACTAGCTGCTGCTTCAATCTCTCTCCTCCACCTCCTAATTCAAACATTCCCTCCCTCCCTTTGAAGTCTGCTCATGTGGCATGGTAAGTCTAGATAGTAAAACTTTAGTTGAACTTTAATTTTTTGTGTCTTTTTATGCACAAAAAATGTATATAATTTTGTTTTAAGAGAGAGAATGAAAGTCACAAAACTGCAAGTTCAGATCATACTTAGATTTTTACCAAAGAAGAACTTTAACATTTCTTATGATTCAAAAATTATTATCCTCACAAAATTACTAATCGTTGTGGTGGTACTTAGGTAATTGACTCAATTGCTCACTTTAGCGACTAAGATAAACTTCTTGCTAACATGCGCCATCGATCTTTGAGTGACCAGAACTTACCCGTCGTTAATTAATAATCTTATGACTAACTTATGAATTTATAGTTTGACTAATTATACGAATTTGAAATTTATGTTATAGTAATATGACATGCAAATGAATGAATTTCGGGTTATTTTTGTGCAGGCCAAGAAATGGAAGATCTCGGACAAGTCAATGTGTATTAGGGGTAGCATGCATGATAATTGGTTTGGAAATGGGTAATTTAGTAGGTATTGAAGAGCGTGCCATTGCCGGAGACATGAATGTAGTGTTAGAATCACAAGACAAGGTTCAACGATGGAGTGACAAAAGAACTTGTGTACCATGGCGAGTCAATTCATTGGAGACCATCGTGCCAGAGAACCTTCCGCGGCCATCGGCCCGCCGGAGATGGGAGGCAGTTGGTTCTTCTAAGGTAGCACCCACAGTTGAAGCTACAACTACAGCTAGTACAAAGTGTTTTACTATGTAAACCCAAAATTTGTATCACAATACATATGATAATGGCATAAAAAAACTTATTGATTCAGTTTCATACTTTGTCGTGATTCTTCACTATAATAGTGATTTACCGATTCATATCAAAATATATTATAAATTTTTGTATTCATGAAGTCACTCTCAACTAACCGATAAAAAAATCGAAATCCGAACTTATTATTTGGATGTAGTACACTAGACTATCATGGCTTTCTCATGCGAACTAACTTTGTGATAGCATCAATTTGTATTTTATGGATTTTTTTGGAAAAATTTCAATCACACCCCTTCTAGTTTTTGAATCTTCAATGACACCCCTTGTCAAATTAAAAATATTAAGTAAAATATAATTTTACTAAATTGCTTATGATATATTTGAGAACAAACTTTATCCACACCCCTTCTAGATAAGCATATCTTAAATGAGACCTCCTCTAGATAAGTATATATTCAATGAGACCCTCTCCGTTTTTTAATTTTTTTTATGTAATTAAATTCGAACCGAATAAAATTCGATTTAAGCTAATTAAAATTTAGTTTTTTACATATTAAAATTTGTGCCAATTAAAAATTATATTTTTTTACGTATTAAAATTTTGGCTATTTAAAATTTTGTTTGAGCCAATTAAAAATTATTTTTAATCAACTCAAATCAAATTTTAATCAATTCGCATTGAATTTTAATCAGGTCAAATTTTAATATATAAAAATATATGAATTTTAATTGAATTAAATTTTAATAAATCAAATTTTAATTGACACGAATTTTAATAAGTAAAAAAATATAAATTTTAATCGACTCGAAAGAGAATTTTAATCGGCGCTAACAATTCGGATAGAGTTCAAATAAGCTCAAATTTTAATACGTAAAAAATAAATTTTAATAGGCTCCAACGAATTAGTAAATAACAAATTAGTATTTACTAACAAATTATTTACAAAAATTGTTATTTACGAATTTTTTAAAAATTTTAACAGCTCGAATTTTAATAAAATTTTATGTAGAAAAATTACTTGAGGTTGTGTAGGGGCATTTTTGGTATTTTAGATGAATTGTTTTTGTTAGAAATGGTAGTTTAATGATAGGGGGTGTTAGTGATGTTTAAATTAAACTAGAAGGGATGTTATTAAAGATTCAAAAATTAGAAGGAGTATCCTTGAAGATATGGTAAACCAGAGGAATTGGAGTTTGGAACCATATATAATGTAGTACATAATTGGCATTTTGTTTTGTAGGAGTAGTACATGCAGTACGAGAAGGAAATTTTGCTGGGCTAAATGGAGGATAAATCATGCAAGTGGGCCATCCTGCATCCCTAGTGCTAATGGGGTTTAAGTAATGGGTCCAACTTCCAAGTGGGTCATCCAAATATGAGTAGGGTCCTTTATAAATATTAGCTCTAATTTGAATTATTAATAAATAATTTATCAACGAATAAAATTAAGTGAAAATATAATAAAATTGATTCCAATCCAAGTTTTAGGTCAACACACTCCTCCTTTCCTTGCATTTCTCTCTCTCAATACTCCTTTGAGAGACGAAGCAATTGTTTGAGAGAAAAAATTTCCACCTTATTGATAGGTTAAAAAGATGTTTAAATCAAAGGTTAAACCAAAGATGGGCAGGCTAACCTCAACTAAATTTGAAAGATTTATTATTGGAACACAGGTTTTTATATTCGGGTTGGGCTTGTGCGAAAAAATAATTGAACTTAATTTAAATTTATGGATTCTCGGGTTTGTAAAACTTAACCCAAATTAATAAGTTATGGTTGAACTCTACTTGAATCAAAATTTAACACGACTTAGATTTGTGTAACCTAAATTTAGTCCGAGTTTAAAATTCAAACACATATAACACTAGGACTGAAGGGTCCAAACTGAATACTTGTTTGGGTTGAACTTGAGTTAAAGATTTAATAGTTTAAGTTTTTTTTTTATCATATATTTACTGAACAACACATGATACATCCTTGTAGAGGTGAGCTAACAGAAAAGACAGAATCTCTTCTTTCCACAGCATAGAAGTATTACAGTTAAAAGCAAGTTTGGCTAAACTATGAGCAACTATATTTCCCTTCCTGCTTATCCAAATCGCTGAGAAATCTTTAAAATTAGACTTCAACTTATTAATTTGTGTTGTGATCGTGCAGCAATTATGGTGAATAGTAAGGAATCAAACAATTAAGAAAGCAGGAGAAAATAACACACAGAGATTTACGTGGTTCGGCAATGTGCCTACATCCACGAGAGCGAGCGGCCGTTCTTTTCCATTATAGAATAGGATTACATCTTAAGTATTTATATAACTATAATATGGACGTATTTACAAAAATACCCCTGTACCGTACCGCGGGGGCGTTGTCCCCGCACCCCCAACTAATCAGCGTCCCCTTTATATAAATCCCACAAGGCAGATGCCGTCGCGGGCTCCACTCCGCCCGTTCCGGCATCTGCCTCCTTGCCATTATGCACACAGCAATATATGAGCCACACATACTCTAACAATTTGATCTATAAAATTACCCACTTCAGATAATGTCTCTTGCTCCTGTGATAAAGCTTCAATGAAAGACTTAGAATCACCCTCCAGTATAATATTAGTATAGCCAAGATCAACAGCCAATTGCACAGCAACAGAGATATATACAAGTCAGTCTTAAATATTCAATACACCCTCTGCTGGAAATTGAATTGAAGCAGCATCCCAACACAGCCTTCACAAGATTTAATAGTTTAAGTTGAACACACACCAGAGGTGTTAAGTTCGAGAGTAGTCTCCTTTTATGCACATGGTTGAGGCTCAACCAATATTCCATATGTCACGGACTGGCCCGTTAACTTAGCTGACTACAGAGCCATGGCCCAGCCAAGCCCACCACATGACTTTTGTGGCCAACTCTATAGCCCAACTGGCAAGGTCCTGAGCTGTGACTTTTGATCCAATAGAAACCCACAAAGTCAGCCTGCTCAATTGGGTCCACGGCCTGTTGAAAACACACATGTATGGTCCATTGGAGGCTTGAATATTTGATATTTCATTACTTTCTCAGTCTCACTAGAACAGTTTCTGGCAATATAAAACATCGTTGGTGTTGTGCCTTGATTAAGGCACCATCGTATCTTTGGTTAAGGCTGGCAATGAGTCTTTTTGACCCACCCAATTCCAGTTATGTCAAAATTAGCTTAACTAATTTTCAATCAATTTATAATTGTGTATAGTCTGGTTCATGTTGTACCGAGTCATGTCTATTTTCAATCATATTTAGTTGGTTCATGTCATGTTTAGCCAAGTTCTAATCAACCCATTTATTTCACGAGTCTATTCGTTGGCACCCAAATCCTCGTATGCTAAATCTAAATCCCATGTCTATCCCATTGTTAATTAGGCAAAAAAATAAATAATTTGGCATACTACCAAATTTGACATATCTCAATTGATATGTCAAATCCTTTTAATTTAATATTTTACAGAGATATTGACTGTTTAAGACAACAATAAATTTAAAGATAAAGATGTAATAAAATAAATTATAATCCATGACGATTCTCGATGATCATCTGAGAGGAATATGTTTCGAATTAGGTGCAAATAATATTATAATTTTAGAAACCCTTTTTTATTATATAAGTTGTAGTCCTTAATACCTTTGTACTTTTTTTTTTTTTCCTTCAATAATTCTCTCGCACCTTAGATTAACTTTTTAGATCCGTCCATTGTAACTCTTTTTGTATGGATCCTCGTGTTCTCTATTTAGTTTTTTATTTTTCTTTTCCCTATGTAATTTGTTATGTATTTTCCTCATGTAGTCCTGTATCCACCCTAGAATTTTTTATCAAAAAGAAAAAAGAATAGTATTATATGTCCTCAAGGGTTTGTTACCCAAATAAATAAATAAAGTCACTTTAATGAAAAGTAAATACAATAATGGGCAGCTCAAACCTCGTGAAATACTCTTTATAACCTAAACTATTGATGTAATCAATTGGTTTTATTTCATTATTAGCACAACTAATTTTGGTTCTAGTTGACTCTTAATCCAATGACAATAATAAATTAGATCGATAAATTTAATCACTTTAAAGTGCAGATAGTATTATTGTCATTGCTGGATACCACTCTTAGAAGGACTCTGACTACATTACAGTATAGCCAAAAATAAATTCGGTATCATAACTCCAAATTTTACTACTTCAAAGGGTATTTGTACAACTTTTATGCATCATTTTACAACTAAACAATTTATCACATTTGTGAATGTTTTTACCACTGTTGTTGGTGTTTTTATTATATTTATGATAATTATTTTTACCACTTTTCTTAAGTACAAAAAAAATTATTATTTTTATTGGTGATTTACCACATTTGTCAATGTTTTTTTACCACTATTTTGATAACTATTTTTACCAATTTTTTTAGTACCACGACAATGATAAGATTACCCACAAATATAGTAAAAATTACAATACATGTGATAAATTTCGGCACCATAGTCAAGTCCCTCTTAGAAAAAAAAAGTATTTGGGATTCCAACTTTATTCTGATCAGAAGGAGATCTAAACCCTAGATAGCCAGCTTGCACGCCTGAACTCGTATCACAGTCTTTTATCAACAAGAAAGATTATTTTCTGTGATGACTTTATATGCTCTTTGATTGTCAGTCAAAAGCACATACAACATATATTCCACAAGTTTACTCTTTAAAAATGGTGATACAGTTAAAATATATGAAAAATTACTCTTTTGTTTCATGTTTGGTTGAATCTATTGAAAATCGATAGTTAATATAAGATTTTTAATTATGTAGAACCTATTGACATTTTTTTAGGGAAGAGGGGGACTTGAACCTATTGAAACTAGTTATTACAATGTAAATCATAATATCAATTATTTTTTCATAAAATAAAGAAATTTATTTTAAATAGTTAAACATGGTATTGCACAAATGACTCATGGTATAATATGTTCAATCAATGTTTGATAGATAGATAAG